CCCCCCCTCTCTCTTTCTCTCTCCCTCTCTGACACACACACACACACACTGCAGGTCTGGTGTCGTCCATGTGGAGACCCAAACGTCAAGCCGCATCTTATTCCGCTCCCATCCCTCCTGCTGCCTGTCTGTCCCGCCTCTCCCCTCCGCGTCTCCGCTCCAACACACCCATACACTCAAAAACACACCACGATGCTACAGTAATCCCTATAGTAAACTGTACCGAGGCTTCACCCGACAAATGTGACCGAAAAGAGCAGAAAACCACCGGATGCTACAATAATCCCTATAGTAAACTGTACCGACGCTTCACCCGACAAAGGCTCCTTATGTGACCGAAAAGAGCAGAAAACCACCTCTGAAGCGCCGCAACTCTCTGCTGGATTATTAAACTATTAAGGGAATATCATTCCTTTATATGTTCATTCTCCCCGTCCATCCCTCCACATGGCAGAATATAAAGCGAGCTGTTCTTACTGATCGTCCGGGATCCTATGCAGCCCATGTCGTCTTACAGAGGCTCGTACAGCTCGGGGAACATAAAATCCATCCGTCCAGCGGGCATCTCTCCACGGATCTCTCTTTCTGCGCGCTTTCCTCTCTCCTCCTCCTCCTCTTCTTCTCTCCCTTTCTCCTCTTCGCCGTCCTCCTGTCCTCCCTGTGTGAGAAAACGGCTGGGTGTGTATGTGTGTGTCATCCGCGTCGCCTCCTCCCTCTCTCTGCCGTACCGTCGTCACACACTCCTGTTTACTCCAGTCATTGTTGATGTCGCTCTGCCTCTCTCTCGTTTTGTGGCTCGAGCACACGGACACACGTGCACGAAAACAGTCTTAAAGACGAGCTGTCAAAGGTAGATGCACGCAGACTGAGTCGTTAACAGGAATAATTCATGAAGAAACAGCTCAGCGTCTCACAGTTAAGCTTATAGTGTTATAGTGTTCACTTTTACTGTTATATTGACAGGTTCTATTATTTTGTCCACCTCGTTTATATATGCTAAATAACAGACACACTTTCTGTATAACACAGCAGCAACACAAACTACATGGTGACCACACAGGCACTCAACATGTCTCCAAAACTGTTTTAACACAAACTAAACACTATTTCATTCATGGAGGAGGATTTACTGTTGCATTAGATTGACTTAGTTTTAGCTTGGTGTACCTAAAATACTGGCATGTCGTTGTATATCCCCATGTGTAGTTGTTTTCTCCAAAACACAATTTACAGCCAAACAAACAAAAACGTGTTATGAAAATGAAGAACGTTGATAATAAAAGAGAAATGAAGACTGATTGTGCATCCGGTTCCTCCAGGTATGTAAAAAAAGTGTAGTTATAGTGGTTTCATTGCTACTGGTCTACATCCATAGCTGCAGGTTATGTGCACGTCTGTGTGATGCTGTGTCCAGTTCCTGTCTGCACACTGCCTACCTGCCCGGTGTCCTGTGGTTTGTGCATCTTATTTGTTTCTGGAGCAAAGGTGATGGCAAAAAAGTATTTAAAAGACTCTGCCAACCACTGCCCATGTGACCCAAACCTCACAAAAGTTCCTGCCCGAACACATTGATGAAATTTGCTAAGTTAAAACAAACCAAAGCTGTGAAGTTGTTGCTTTATTATGCTGCTACAAGACTGTGAACATCTTGTCAGCAGCGCGTTGTATGAATATTATATTATACATGAGTCCAAAATGGCAGCTGTGGAGAGAAAGCTCCAGGGTTTAATGCCAAGAAGCTGACACTGAAGCTGTTAATGTTTTACTGGTGACTCGGTTGCTTGTAAAGTTGGTGTCAGACATTTTTCCACAGCTGTCAGTCATATTAAACTTGTTCTAACACATGGCTCAGCTCCGACAGCGACACGCTGACCCTATCATTGGCTCTCAGACACTGATGAACTGCTTGTATCATCTTTATGTTCATCATTGCTGGACAATCTGAAGCTTTTATTCCACTCGAGTAAAAAGTGAGCAAGTGTTGATATGATCAATATCTGATGCGTGTAATATGTGGCACACTTGAGTCTGCAGCTGGTCTTCCCCCTCTCTCTCCCCTCTCCTCTGTCTCTCTCAAACAATGCAGCACAGCTGTTCTCCTCCAGACATCTCTGCCCTCGCCTCCTCCCTGTCTCCCCCTCCTCACTCTAACACACTATGAATATGAAAACACAGTGATTCAGCTGTGGAGTGCGGGCAGGGAAGGACAGCCGCTCCCAACTCTGTTAGCTCCATCTCCACCTCGGTACCAGCTCTGAGCTGTCCTCTTCCAGCCCACCCTGCTGCAGAGACGCGCTGATGACTTTTACTCTGTTTAAAGGAAAATGTGAAGTATCTTACACATTTGGAAAGAACTCATTTAAACTTTATATAGCTCATAATTTTAATCTTCTGCAAATTCAACAGGTTTGTGCCATAGGTGTTTTGTTCTCTGATGGCCCTTGGAAGGAGGCTAGTCCAAGCATGAAAATGACTCATTCCCCTTTATTACACTCTTGTTGTAGTTTTGACCATCTTGGCTAAGGCTGCCTGTTTAGACCATTTCTTTTGATGCCTGCAAAGGTCCACCAGAGTTTTTCTGACATAACCAAGACAGCATGGAGGAACCTTGGTTTCCACACATTTATCATGAACCATGGCATGTTCCTAATCATAGTCATTCACATAAGATACATAGACCATATTTTGATAGTGTTGCTGTGGAAATAAGTTGAAAGAACTTTTACTTTTGTCTAAAAAAGTAGAAATAGTTTGAGTTAAGTAAAATCCAACATGTAGTGTACATGATGTGATAGCTATGGATCCGATGACAGCAGGGGGCCCTAGTCAGTCACTGTCTGTCTGGAAGCCTCCATACTGTGTTGGTTTCATCTGCACCTTCCTTTCTCCTCCATAGAAGTTTGATGATTGTTTTCAAGCTGTCTGATGGGCTGACATCTTATTTCTCACCATATCAGTGCCTTGTCTCTCATTACCACTGCAGTGGAAAGTCTGCATCCAGCTGACTTGTCACCCTGTGTCACAGTACAATCATAATGATGTCACACTTGCATAATACGGTGCCTATGTGGCTGGTGTAATTCATGCAATCACTGATTTGTATATTTGATACATAACATATTTGGTCTCCTGGAGATTAATTGTGTGAGTGTGTGCATCTAAAATAATGAGGTGCCTTGTTATTTCTGCAGAAGCCCAATGTTTCAAGCTGATATTAGACACAGAATGTGGCTAGAAAGAGAGAGACACTAACTGAAGGTCAAAGACTATTGAGTTCGCAAAGTGATTATTTTCATTACGCCTCCTCTTCTTTGAGGAAATACTGCCAACAGAGTGAATCGTGTGAGTTGTGTGAAGAGAAATGAGGATAAACTGTAGCTACATCTGGAGGTCGTTCTGTGAGAAAGAGGACGGCTGCAAGCTTTTACACAGGGGAAAGCCAGAGACAGATGAGTGAGATAAGGAACAGGAGAAAGAGAGACGGGAGGTCCACTAGGTAGGAGGCTTTGCTTAGGCAATAAAGGGATCAGTACTGCTAAGACATGTTGGGCCGAGTCCTCTGTTAATATGCCTGGTAGGGAAATGCCATGACAGCTGTGTTGAACCAGGCCTGTTGCTGTGGCAGCTCTTCAGCGAGACTTTTAATTAGAACTGGCCCATCAGACCAGGCACTATGATTCTCATAACACGGTGCCAAAATGTGTCATCTATCCTCTGTCGTCAGGGTTGTACCAGCACCGTCTGGAGGTGTGACAGATTTACAGCGCTCTCTGAGATCCCGACGTCATCGAATGGAGACACAACCAGTCTAATTACTTATTGGTAGTTACATAACTGATCTCAACACACACACAAGTCAGAAATCAGGATTGAGCTACACAGCAGCAGGTGGATGTTGAACTCGCATCAACCAACTGGCTGAAATCAGATATACCTCCACTGCAGAAGCCATTATTTATGAACAGATGTTATATTTTTCAAACAGCAGATAGTCTCATATTCAGTATCTGTCTGCCTTTCAGTCTCTTTGTCTTTGCTTTGAGCACCCAGTCAAATAAACATTCAGCAGAAATAGCTGCAAGCGGTTTGGTGGATCCCCGACCTTGTGATGCTCAAGCTTTCCCCGCCGGCTCCGGCTGACGCCTGAGATGTTGACAGCAGGCCGCAGTCATGAATGCCAACATCTCTGCTGCTGCTCCCTGTAAATGTAGTTTTGCTGTTTTTAGTATTTCCTTTACCTGTTACAGATACATGAGCTAGGATGCAAACATCCAGTATTGTGATTATAAATGCAGCAGCGATGTGGTTAAACAGTAAGGCCAGTGCTTCTGCACAATTTACCACATGGAAGGAGAAACGAGTCATCGTAGCATCCATGCTGTGAACTGAAGAGCAGAAACCTGACTATAGTAGTCAAAGCACGTTTAGTTATATGACACATTTTCATAAACAAATGTGATTCAAAGTGCTTAACACAATGCGCACAAATAGATAAAACATTAAAAAGCAAATTAAAAGCAACAATTACATGACAGCACAAAGTAGCAGCATGCAAGTGTAGATGCCCGGTCCTTTAGGTCAGCTGTGGCAGACTGTGGATACTCCGTGTTCTCCTTATACCTTGTATCTTTACTTCAGTCTTCTCAAGACTAAACATTTCCCAGCCAAGACCAAGCAAATCAAATTGTATCAACCAGAGTGAAAACTGCAAATTTAGTGTTTAGATAAACATGTATCTTTATGTGGTTCATTGGAAGCTTTAGACATATTTTTAATATTTGGAATTGTAGGGCTGAAGGCATGATGTTGAAATCAATGTGATTGTTTGACCAGCACTTATAGAATGAAAAAATAATAATGATCCAATGTTGGCACCACCCAGTGGTGGTATCACAAGGACATTATGAGTTTCATAAGTGAACATTAAATGTCTCATTTCCCAAGTAGCATCGACCATTTCTTTGCTGAAAAGTAGAAGTGTTGGTCTCGAGATGTTTTCCTTTGCATCACATGGCCACATGCAAAACCTGCAGTTCAAAAACCAAGCACATATTCAGTCAGCGCTCTTGAAAGCACTCGCACCTTCTGTACCTGGCATTAGAGAGCAGGTCACAACCGAACAAAAGCCAAATTGATTTGTCGAAGACAGAGTGAGTCGGTTCACTTTTGGCTTAAGATTTCAGAGTCAGCTGGAATTGCAGCTTCGCGGTTGTATGCCCTGATTTTTGACCTTTATCTTTGAGTCTACGTGGACAGTTGTGCTAAATTAGAGTAAATTCCCTCAAGGTGTCCCTGAGCTATTGTGTTCACAAGAACGGGACAGATGAACAATCTGAAAACCGCCAGTGCGGAGGCAAAATAAAATGAATGTATTGTATATTGTTATAAATAGATCTATTTGTTGTTTGTAAGTATCTGATGTTTCTGGGTGTAGAAAATATGTCACATATGAACTATAAAAATACAGTAACCAAAATGTTCACATTGCAGGTAAAAACACTCATGTGACAAGTCTGCAAACAGACAGCCGTCTCCATGACAACATCACATCCTGCATACACCAATGTGGCACAGACTGCTTCTTCAGAAAATGTCCCAAAAGCAGCACTTCACTCTGATCACAGTAAAAATGTTGACTCAGATTTACTAATTTAAAGTTGTCTTCAGGGAAGAGTGGGAGAGCATGTGGGCGCTTTTTGGTGAAAGTAGATGGAGTGGGGTAATGGAGAAAAGGGGATGGGAATTAGAGAGGAAGGAAGAAACCGAGAAAAAGCAAGAGGGAGGTAAAACCCAAGCAACCGTGGATGCTTTCCAAATAAAACTTGCCCGAGAGAGTGAAGAGATGGGGGGATGAAGAGGCAGGGAGGCGGAGGAGGGTAACGTCTATGAGTCATGCTGAGAGATGAGGACAAAGACTTCAAGCAGGGAAAATTTATGGGGAATATGAGCTTCTGTAGGAATAAAAAACTTGAGCTGGAGAGGAAGGAGGGATGAGGACAAGAGGTTTATTAGTGGTCTGGCTGAAAGTGGAGAAGGAAGGACAAGAAAGAGGAAAAGGAGCTGGAGGATGAGGGATGATGGGGGGTTTGGTGAGAAGGAGCGAGGGGAACGGGGTGATGAACAGAAGGAGAAATATTATATGTCTGAAGACAGGCACAGCTTACTATTCATAGTCTGTGTGTTGCTGTTTGTGTGCATGCGTAATTATACAGCTGGTTGGTTTTATATTCGTGAGGGGACGTATGAGGACAAACAAGAATAATAAAAGGCCCCTCAGTGGACACTAGTTGTTGAATTGCTTTTTAGTTGCAAAACAGAATGAAAATGTAACCTTTGTGTTGAAGCTCTGTCCAATTCCTTGTCCTTCTGTCCTGCTGCAGGCAAGACATCCTCACAAAGACAGAAACCTGAGGAAAACCACCCATCACTCAGCCTCATAGGACCCAGGTAAGGCTGTTGGTTTTTAAATATGTCTTCTAATTGTCAACAAATCCCCTGAAAAGACCAAACCAACCATGCGTTACCTTCAGACTTCTCTGCACTGTGGCTCTCAGCTCCAGTCTCACTGACTCTTGAAGATGTAAATCTTTAATAGCTCATAAATACATGCTGTCATTAAAAATAAAAGGTTTGGTAACAGCGTAGAACAGTAAAGTAAGTAAGTAAGGTTTATTTATATAGCACCTTTCACAGATAAAATCACAAAGTGCTTCACAAAGTCAGCAATGCAGAATGCAAAACAACAATATGCCAACAACACCAACAGATAATATATAAAAACTATGATAAAAATAAAGTAAAACATAACTATCAGATCAACTACAAGCCTGACTAAACAAATGTGTCTTCAGCTGCTTCTTAAAACCACCACCAGATTCGGCCATACGAAGTGACAGGGGGAAAGCAACGCAAGCAAGAGGGAGGTAAAACCCAAGCAACCGTGGATGCTTTCCAAATAAAACTTGCCCGAGAGAGTGAAGAGATGGGGGGATGAAGAGGCAGGGAGGCGGAGGGGGGGAACGTCTATGAGTCATGCTGAGAGATGAGGACAAAGACTTCAAGCAGGGAAAATTTATGGGGAATATGAGCTTCTGTAGGAATAAAAAACTTGAGCTGGAGAGGAAGGAGGGATGAGGACAAGAGGTTTATTAGTGGTCTGGCTGAAAGTGGAGAAGGAAGGACAAGAAAGAGGAAAAGGAGCTGGAGGATGAGGGATGATGGGGGGTTTGGTGAGAAGGAGCGAGGGGAACGGGGTGATGAACAGAAGGAGAAATATTATATGTCTGAAGACAGGCACAGCTTACTATTCATAGTCTGTGTGTTGCTGTTTGTGTGCATGCGTAATTATACAGCTGGTTGGTTTTATATTCGTGAGGGGACGTATGAGGACAAACAAGAATAATAAAAGGCCCCTCAGTGGACACTAGTTGTTGAATTGCTTTTTAGTTGCAAAACAGAATGAAAATGTAACCTTTGTGTTGAAGCTCTGTCCAATTCCTTGTCCTTCTGTCCTGCTGCAGGCAAGACATCCTCACAAAGACAGAAACCTGAGGAAAACCACCCATCACTCAGCCTCATAGGACCCAGGTAAGGCTGTTGGTTTTTAAATATGTCTTCTAATTGTCAACAAATCCCCTGAAAAGACCAAACCAACCATGCGTTACCTTCAGACTTCTCTGCACTGTGGCTCTCAGCTCCAGTCTCACTGACTCTTGAAGATGTAAATCTTTAATAGCTCATAAATACATGCTGTCATTAAAAATAAAAGGTTTGGTAACAGCGTAGAACAGTAAAGTAAGTAAGTAAGGTTTATTTATATAGCACCTTTCACAGATAAAATCACAAAGTGCTTCACAAAGTCAGCAATGCAGAATGCAAAACAACAATATGCCAACAACACCAACAGATAATATATAAAAACTATGATAAAAATAAAGTAAAACATAACTATCAGATCAACTACAAGCCTGACTAAACAAATGTGTCTTCAGCTGCTTCTTAAAACCACCAACAGATTCGGCCATACGCAGTGACAGGGGAAACGCAACGCACAGTCTAGGAGCCACAGCCTGAAAAGACAGGTCCCCCTGTGCCGAAAACTCTAAACAAAAGCAGCAGTGCTGCTGCCTGCTGGGTAATCTTGTCCTTGGCAGCTGGAGTGGAGGACTCGCTCCTTAACTGGTCATTTCATCTGCAGAGAAAGGGTGAGCCGAAGGGACAGACACAGACATGTTATAAAATTTAATGTATGTATTGGTACGGCTGTACAGTACATCACAGTTACATCTGATGGTGACAACACAGGGCATTCAGATGTGTTAGGATCTAAAGGTGGCATGTTGACTTCAGTAATATCAGCAACCAAGGAGCAGTTGTCACTTGTTTTTGAGTCTCACAGCAAGAAGGTTCCGGGTTCGAGCCCCAGCACCTTTCTGTGTGGAGTTTGCATGTTCTCCTTGTTGATTGATTGACTGGTAACTCTAAATTGCCTGTAGAAGTGAGTGTGAGTGTGTGTTTGTGTCTAAGTGTCAGCCCTGTGATAGACTGGTGACCTGTCCAGGTTGGACCCCGACGTTCGCCCAATATCAGCTGGGATTGGCTCCAAACCCCCCGTGACCCTCAATAGGATAAACAGTATAGATGATGGATGGACCCTCTAGCAACTGAAATGAAATTAGCTCACGTAGCTTTAAAGCCACACTGCCAGCTGATGCTAGCACAGCTTCATTAAAAGCAGCGTGGAAGGGAGATCGATCTGCTTAGTTCAGAGCCAAATTTACACACACTGACTTTGGGGGAAGTTGAACAGATTTTTACTAGAATCAACTGATGGAATAATGAGGTGACTGTAGATATACAGTCATGTGAAAAAATTAGGACACCCTTTGAAAGCATGTGTATTTTGTAACATGTTTTAATATATGGTTATTTAATCTCAATTTTAACAATACAGAGAGATTCAAGTAATACAACTAAACAAGTAAAACTGAAGAAAAGTCTTTTCAAGATCTTCTGTAAATGTAATTCTACAAAAATGCCTATTCTAACTGAGGAAATTAAAAAATTAAAGCTGAAGCAGAACTGGACCATGCAACATGACAATGACCCAAAACGTACTAGTAAATCAACCAAAGACTGGCTGAAAAAGAAGAAATAGAGAGTCCTGGAATGGCAGAGTCAAAGTCCGGATCTGAATCCCATTGAGATGCTGTGGGGTGACTTGAAAAGGGCTGTACATGCAAGAAACCCCTCAAACATCTCACAGCTGAAACAATTCTGCATTGAGGAGTGGGGTAAAATTCCCTCAGACCGATGTCAGAGACTGGTAGATGGCTACAAGAACCGTTTTACTTGTTTAGTTGTATTACTTGAATCTCTCTGTATTGTTAAAATTGAGATTAAATAACCATATATTAAAACATGTTACAAAATACACATGCTTTGTAGTTTACTAACTCAAACACACGGACTGAAGTTGATCTTCAGTGTTGCTGGTTGTACAGAAGTAACTTTCCTTCACAGGCTGTTGCATTAGTTTGGCTTTCACACAAACACATGACACATTGGTACCGTGTTGTCTCACTGCAGCATCATGACATCGCTCAGTTACATACTAACACCACCCACATGCACACGGAGACAGAAAGTCCAGCAGCAGCTCATATGGGCTTCACAGAACTCACAGTAAATGTCATATTGATCGATCCCACACGAGTCTGGTCGAATCGATACCCTGTGTTTTCTGCTCACGGCGTTGTCCCACTGCTCGGCCCCCCCGCTACTGTGAAAAGGCCTCTGAAGCCACGTTTAGCTGCACATCAGGCTGCTGAGACCAAAACTAAGAAGCACTGAGGCTTGAGTTCACTGCCTCTGTGTAATGGTTTGAACAGGGTAGAAACCTGCTCGGCTTTGACTGTTTCTCCATCGTTTCTTTGTAATGTGCCGTTTTTCTTTCTGTTTGATCTGTGACTGTGAGCACTGACTTTAAGCTTTAATAGAAGGTTTTCATTTCCAAAAATGAAAATCCTGGACTGTCTGATGTGTACAACTCCTCTGCGACTTTGCAGACGACCCCGAAGCCCTGCCTTTTAGGTGGGTGTGTTTTTCTTGCAGGTCTGAATGCTGCTGTAACTCCAGACACAGACACAGCCTCAGAACGACATTGGCTCTGCTCTCTACACACGTCCTCCTCACTTTCATCCTCACTTCGAGCTACAGAGGAGGAAGAGAAAGGTGAGGCAGCAGAAGTTGTCAGACAGCATGTGAAAATCAGGGTAAAAAGGTAAGATTCAACAACACCGTGGTTTCAAGTCTGTCTCTGAACAATAGTCAGGTTCTCATATGAAGACTAAAATAGATTTTTGCTCACTGTTATCATTTCTCATGTTCATACTGGTCATTAAAGGATCCATTTGGCCCCAGCAGATAAACAATGAAGGTGACGAGCCCAGGTGACACGTACAGAGTGGCAGTGAGAAGTTGGCAGTGTGTGTGAGTAGATAACTGTGCGTGTGTGTGTTTCATGGTAATGATGTAAGTGAGACGCTTTGACTCCCTCCATGTGGTCTGAGAGCCCATCTGTCCTCCTGTCTCTCTGTTGGTCAGGACTCATCAGTCAGGTTTACAGGAGTCAATGCGGAGAAATGATTCCATAGATGCTTGAGAGGATGAGTAAACATACGAAGGTTGTTGCTCCTGCAAAAATCTGTATGGTATTAAGTCAATTCTGTCTGTGAGTCTTAAACCAAGTCAAGTGAAATGTATTTAAAGAGCATATTTAAAAAATAATGAAAACATTTCAAAAGATGATCAAAGTGCTCTACAGATGTTGAAAGTGAATATACATAGGCAAATAACTGGTAAGACAGAAAATTAAAGGAATCATGGGCGTATTAATAATAACAGGGACTCGGAAGCAGCTGTAGAAAGATAGGACCCCTCTTTTTGATCATTCACCATCAAACATGCCCAAATGGAAAAAATGCCAGTGCAATGATTCAGATGCTTTCAGGAATTTCACAGAAGTGAAACAAGAAATATATTTTAAAAAAGTCTTCTGATGCATTTCAGAAGCTTTCAGAATTAAAATCCAGACAGACACGTTTTTTAAACTACTTTCTTTCCTGCAGACTTTCTCCCCACAGAGCATCTGTCTTCAGCATCAGATGGTAAGAAGCGTCTCTGTCCTCTTTTTACCACGTTGAATTAAATCATGAACAAAAGTTAAAATTAAATTGCCTGATAACCTCATGTAACCTAAGAGTGTCAGCCACTTAATACAGGAGAGCAGAATTACTGAATGAAAAGATAGACGAGGTCAAAAGACAAATTAATCGGTGAAAGAAGAAAGGATTTGTGAGGTGATGCAAAATCACCCCAAACAAGTTTTATGAGAAAATGTCCAAACCAAGAACAGTATTTGCCAGTGTAGTATGACTTCTTAAAGCTGCTCTACTTGATTTCTTTTCAGTCTAGACTCAAAACAAACTAATGCTCCTCACCGCTCTTTGCACCATCCATCAGATTCTGTTTCCCCAAAGACTAGAATAGAACCAGCTATACAACATGAAGCCTCCAGTCTGATGCTAGCGTGTCCGTCCAGAACACTGGTTACTGCTAATGTGACAGTGTGATGTTACACAAAGCTCAAATTTCCAAAATTATATTAATTCAGTCTCAGCCTCCTCTAAACTATTTTCTGATGTCCATCTACAGTAGTCAATAATGTTAGTCAAAATAAGATCTGTATTACTCAAAAACTCACTTTAATCCCTGTCACATACCCCAGTACCTTTTGTTTTACATTCCAATAAGCAGACTGCTTCATGCAACGACATGTACAACATGCATACGTCCGCACCGTGGTGTACAACATGCATACGTCCGCACCGTGGTGTACGAGCCCTGACCACTATGCCTCCACTTCTATTTTGTCTTGACATGACATTCTGGATTAGAACAACAAATCAATTCATTTCCAGCTATTATCAGTTTAAATTTATCCACTGCCAAACACAGGAGCTAAAACTCGAATGTGTGAGTTTACTGGGGCACAGCAGATCAATACCGGGGCAGGTGCCACAGTGAAAGGGGTCTAAGGACGTGATGATGTTAACCCTGGTTGCTTTCTTTGTCCCACTCTCTCTGTGTAAAACATGCCACCTCTTCGCTCTGGCAGCTGCTGGTTCAGACTTTTAGCCAGCCAGAGCTCCTCTGTGGCTGTCTGGCATGACTACTGGTGGCTAGGTGGCAGGCGGGGCTAATTTACAGACCGTACTTTGACAACACAGGGTGGAGAAGCTGGAAGAACAACAGGAGGCTGTAGTGGAGGGTCATGGAGGGCGGGATGTAGCTGAGAGACACCACATCCTGTCCCACTGTCACTGGGTTTATCAGACACTGTGGGGGATCCAGTTAATGCATCTTTAACTATGAGGTTATTTAAAACAATTAATTACTTGTTTATCCAAGTAAATAATTCTGCAAATATACAATGAATTATGAATGAACCCCCCTTCAACAGCAGCATCTCATTTACCTCTCCTCACCTGGTTTCCTGCCAGTTATCCCAGCATCTTCCCTGCAGAGCTGATTAGACGCCCCGTCCTGTAGCAGAGGACAAAACAAGGACGACCTGCTCTCTGCCTCCCCACACAGCTCTCTGACTTAGTCGGTCTGTCTGGGGCAGCAGCTGCAGCTGGATGAAGACGGATGGTCTAATCCTGCGAGGAGGAGGTGGGTTAAAATGGCGGCCTGGAGGTGGTAGTCACACTGGGCTTTTTCTAATGAAATAATCACAACCCATGTTGTGATCTGGAAGTCAGCTTTTGTTTATTTCCCTTCTGTTCACATTTGACCTCCGGTGCGCTTCTTCTTTAAATGTTGGTTGGTTTGACCACTGAAGACTAAAGTCGACTCTGCTGGCATCATATAGTAGCACAACCATCACTTAACATGCCCAAGCAAACTACATGAGGAGTTAAAATATCCTCCGTAGTCACCGTCTGACAGCATCGGACCGACACTCATCTTCAGCCATGTCTTCACAATGGCCTTAAAGGATTGGTTCATATGTTTTCATGTCTTTCTTATACCACTTTCATGTGTTTCTGGAAATCTAAACTCAAAGGTCCACTTATTAGTTTTTCTGAGATATGAGCTGCATCATGTTTTTTTTTCAGCCTCAGGGGTCGTCATGTCACTGAAGTATGGAACTTGTTTACATGATAAGAAGTTTCTGGCGGGGGGAGACGGTGTCTTCTGTCTGTTCAGGACAACGATCGTTCTCCAGCCACCCCTGACTCCCAGCGTGACCTCTGACCTCTCACAGTTGATGCTGTGTTCAGTTTTGGTTTGTCGTTTGATTATTTTGTCACACATACTGGTTCTATAAGTGCAGTATGAATGTCCATGCTCAGATGATGATGATGGTTTGTCTCCTGTTGCCTCAGCGTGTTTTCACTAGAGGGAGCCACACAGGAGATAAAGAGGAAGCTCTGTGCCTGAAGCTCCATTTGTTCAACTGGGCTCTAAAGGTTTTTCTCTTATATATCAGTCACTGAAGGCAGAGAAGTGTGGATCTCCTCCTGCACCTCCTCTGTCCTCTGTGTCTTCTGTCTGTATCCTTGAGGTTGTGAGATCCAGTCAGGCTTCTTTATTTGTGTGGCTTGGTTTGATTTGTGTGGAGCCTGAACCAAGTAAAAAGAGGAATTTTAAAACTCCATTTTTGTTATTGAACTAACACTATAATTTTCCAGTTAGGGTTCCTGACTGTAGCAACATTTGTATAAATGAATATTAACCAGTTCATTGGTATTAATGAGAACCACCTGTAGTGTGTTGGTACGTCAGCGCTGTCCCGTTGCAACCAGATTGTGCATCCACAGTCCACCGTGGAATAAAATAAATGAGGCACTCAGAGTGGTGAAACTGGAGGTCAGGTAGGGTGAGGTCTTTTCTATCACCTCGTCATCTCTCAGCTGGTGTAAAACGCCTGTAAACCTCTTGACGGCAGCGACCATGATCCTCTGACGGGGGTGGGTCCGGCAGCGCACAGTGACGCATCAGCCCTCCGCGCTCTCATTTGGTCACTTGGAAGAGGACTAAAGGTTGAGTGTCTAACGGTATGTTTTAATTTTTCGTTATGAGTCAGACTGATCTTGTTCGTACAGTGCAATTTTAAAAGGTTGGTTCCGTTTTTTTTCTGAGCCGCAGGTGGAAAATCGTCCGGTTGTTGTTGCAGTGGTTTGCTCCTCTTGCAGTTGGTTCTTCTCTTGTAATTTAGCTGACGTGGTTTCCTGGATCAGCTGCCTACTCCTCTTAAAACGTCAGGATTAAATTGATGTGTGAATGAAATTAATTTGTTTAATGTGTAGAAGATTGTGTTTGTTCAAAACTTTTTCTCTTACAGCCAGGACTAGAACATATCAGACAAAATGGTGGACAAATTGGAATCAACGGGTGGGTTGATGGTGTGGACGCACGCATAAAGCTTCCATTAGAGTTGATATAGCTGCTGTAACATTACAGAGCTCCAACTTAAACTGTTTTAAGTATTGATTGTTCTGCCGATTTATTTTAATGAGACCAAAGAGATGCTTTAAACTGCCCAAAAGTCAAAGCAGAAGCTTCTGGCACAACTTCAACTACTGCCAACTGTAAAATAAAAATGGGTAAACAAAACATACATGTTGGCCAATAAAAAAAAAAATCCACTTAAATCCACTTGTCATATGGTTAGGGGCCAAACACATTCTGAAATTGGTAAACGACAAAAGGTGTGTCTAGTTATTGACACAGGTGACACCACAGTTGATCAGCATGTGAGAATGTACATAGCTGGTGGACCCCCAGCTCTAATGGCAAGTGTTCACCAATTTGGATGTGTTTTAGACTTGTAAATGGGGCTGCAGCTTTTCTACATCCACAATACTTACATGACTTTATGCTTTTAGCAGGCTCTGACAAAGGCTGAAACATGTTGTTTTATGCACTGTAAGTGTTGCTGGAGTTTTGACGTCAGCAGTCAAAAACTCAAATATATTTTACTTTCATACAGAACATAGTCAACAGATTTTCACATTGGAGAAGCAGGAACTAGCAAATATCTGGCAGTTTGCAGTGGTTATGTTTTGGCTCAGTGGCTGAGTGCTCGCCTCCTCTCTCCTCATGACCTGCAGTGTTACTGTGACCTCTGACTATCTGAGAGGAATCTAAACAGCATGAGGTGATCCACTGAGGAGAGAGGAGCCCTGAAGTAAATGGAAGTCAGGTGTTTAGCTGTCATGAACCAAAAGACAGAAAAGTTCCTCCTTTGAGAGCTGATATAAACATTAGTGCTGGAAGAGCAAATTGGCAGTGATTGTGATGATAATTAAGTCAAATTTTCCCCACACAAACATTTTTCTCCCAGCTCGTTTTTGTTTCTTTTATGTGGTGAAATGAGTTTTTAATTCACCGTGGGCTCCAGAAATTTATGGTGGGTAATTTTTAGTGTTATGTGACATTTTGTGGTCTAATTGCACAATTGAGTTAATCAAGAAAATCCACAGATCCAGCAGAAATGAAAGTAAGCTTGTGAGAAACAACAGTATGGTGTATTAAAATGTTGACCTAGGGGGAAGCTCACTGAGATTATGCCAATGTAAAAGAAACAGATGCCCTTGAGAAAAATGCTGACCCCACATAGCTCCTGATGTGTGCATGGGGAATAAAATGTTCGCTCTGGACAAATGAATGTGACATAAATATACATTCTGACAATCTTATCCAGTCATTTACCTTTGAACCTTTTTCCTCCAACTACAGTAAATGCTGTCCGTGATGGTACTGGACTCTGGACTGGACCTGTCTATTATCTGGTTATTTATAGTGCGCTGGCATCAGGGTCGCCAGCCCCTCGTCCTCCACACCCTTCAGATTCCTCTATTGCTGCTCTCCACAGCTGTCGCATTCCCTTTATTCTCTCCTCATCTATTTTTAACCCTCTACCCTTTCTGCTGAACATCAGATTATCTGGTTTGTGGATGCTGCTCAGGCTTGAAGATCACCTGTGAAGCAGCTGTTGGAGACTGGATCCCGGTGCTGGACCAACGGCATCACTGAGCCGAAACGGAGGATGGGGTCTGCATGGTTCAGTGCATGTTGTAGGAGAGATCGTCTCCATGTGGCGGCTGCAGTCTTGTTTGTGCGCTCATAACGGTGAAATCAAGTCCATCTCAGGCAGTCCCAACTGTTTGTTGTATGGACAAACATGCATGTTTCCCCCAGCTGAACTTTACTGACATGGCAAATCTGCTCTGTATTTTTGACTCAGCTTATTTGTTGGGTGATTATGGAATTTTTTTCACTTATTAAATGAACATTTTCAAGGTTTTGAACAGTCCCTTTATTCCACACTGCTTTAAATTCCATTGTGGACTCAGACGGTTCTCTTGCACTGCAGTAGATCCATGTTTTGGGTCCTCACTGCACTCCTGAGGTTTTCTTGTATCTGCAAGGTCACACCGTCCTCTTTCCGCTCCCTATCTCTGTAATCTCAAGCTAAACTGAGGTTCACAGGATCACCTGCCTGCCTTTTATCTCATTTTTCTCCCAGATGATCACACAATATTAAAGTCCTCCAGCAGTGTTCTGCTGCTTGACCTGCTGTGACGGCAGCCATACAAGGCGTAAACAGACTCGCGGCTGTGGGTCTAGCTTCAGTCAAGGTTGGCAGGCCCTGGGGGGCCCGGCTGTCTTCCACAGGGACTCTTCTTGGAGTTGTGGTGTCACCTGGTGGTCGGAGGGAAAACGTGATGTGGATGCAGAAGTTTTGGGTTTCGTAGAAGGAAAGTTGTTAATTTTGGACAACCTTGACAACTTTACCAACTAGACGGTGGTAAACATCAAGCTGTCAAAGTAAAGCAGACAACTTCATCAAAAGATACTTGGACTAATAAAAGGGCCTCAAGTTTATCCAATGTGAGACTTGCACTTTACTTTTCTCTCCACTCAGATTGTGAGGAAGGTAAAATGTTCATCTTCAAAATATCTAAAATGGTTAATTGTATTTTTTTTTCTTCAATTTCAACTTGGAAAAAGTTTCTTTTGTAATCCAAGTTTAGAAACAGGACAACAGTGGTTAAATTTAGTTTATAAATTGGAAGTAGCTTACGTGCACTTAGTTTCACATCGGCTGCACTGAGGACAGACCTTAGTGATGGCAAATGATGTACGGCAGAGGCAGGGGCTGTGTATAAAGGGTGGGTGTGATTATTTGTGCTATGAAATGGTGGAGAGGATGATTATGGGAGAGGCAGTGAAACTTGGCCACAGGGTGAGTGCAGAGGAGGTGAAGCGAAAAACTGGTTCAGACAATGCACACATCCTGTCCTGCCGTGGCCTCTGCCCTGTTCATGTCGCCAAGCTCCGCCCTCAGTCGAGACAGATGCAGATCTGAAATTGAATGTATGTAGGCTATGTGGATTTCATTTTATAAATGAACAATCAGCTAATGGCCATTTGTGTCGCGTTACTATCAAAATGATAGTAACCTCCCCCACCCAAATTTCTAAATGCCTATTGGGAAGCAGTTTTCATTTCAAAACAAATCCACTGGCTTCCTAGTACACAGACCTTTTATACACTGACCCCGCTGGGATCTAATTTAGTTTCTCTATATTCTCGCTGTCATGTTTCAGATTCGGACGCATCAGCCGTTTAGTGACCCGTGCTGCTATTACAAGTGGCAACGTCAAGGTGGCCGCCATCAATGACCCCTTTATCGACCTGGACCACATGGTGAGGACAAGGTGTATCTCAGGGAAAATAACTAACTTCATAAGTGGTTAATGGTTTTATAGGCGCAAATATTAAACTGCCAGGGGCTGCAGTTCTTAGTGGTATTGACACTTGTGAAATATGGGCAGAATGACATCTTAGTCAAAACTGAGTGTAGTATTAGTCTTTCAAACCATCTTTGGGTTATAAGGTGAAGTTCTGTAGCTGTAAACCTCCTGTGGAGACCTGACACTGTTCAGTGCAGCTACACTACGATGATGCATTTTCTGTAAGATGCAGGCAGTGCAGCCTTGATGTTCTTATCCTGTCTTCTTCCTGCAGGCCTATATGTTCAAACATGACTCCACTCATGGTATGTGGAAACATGAAGAGGTGAAGGCCGAGGATGGCAAGCTGGTTATCGGCAACATGCATATCATGGTCTCCCACGAGTATGAATACATGTGTTTAGAGTTTTCGGCACTCTTGGTCTGAATTCAGTACAGTCCTGATGTCTAAACCTCAATGTGATGACGTGCAGGAAGGACCCCGCCAACATCAAATGGAGCGACGCCGGTGTTGACTAAGTGGTGGAGTCCACTGGCGTGTTCACCACCATCGAGCAGGCCTCTGTGAGTTTACAGCTGATTCACTAGAGTCAGAACTGGACTATTCAATCTGATTTTGACTTGTTTGTAAGTGAATAAAGGATCATAAATAGATGTCTGTTTTTTGGCCTTTACATCAGCCTCTTGTTCAATAGGACAAAAATGCATTTTAAAATCTAAACAGTTTAATTCTAGCTCAAGGAGGGAGCCACACATGACTAGAAAGGTTTCTAACTGCATCATTCCCCTTTGTGTAAAGGGCAGAAGTGATCACGTTTGTCGTTGCCTTTGGCCTTTTGTTGGTTTCTTTAGGCTCACCTGAAGGGTGGCGCTAAGAGGGTGGTGATCTCCTCTCCCAGTGCTGATGTCCCCACATTTGTTATGGGCGTCAACCACGACAAATCCATGAAGGTTGTCAGGTGAGTCTGGTGACACTGGCTCAGTGTCGCAGATGGTTTGATAAAGATGTAGCAGAAGAACTTAAATTTGGAGCAATTTCTTCAAACTACCTACAGTTTTAATCTTATTGATGATGCCCTCCATGTTGAACTGGTTAGAATGAGAAGTGAGACATCTGGACTGAAATGCAGCATGTCCAGTGTCCTGACCTCCAAGGACAGAT